CACACACACACACACACACACACACACACACACACACACACACACACATTTAGAAGCTTGAAATTAAAAAAAATCAACTTTCAATTGAGATAAAATCTAAAATTTCAAATTTGCTTAACCGCTTTTTTTTTAACTGCATAAACAAATTGCAGTGCCCTCACCTCCTTGAAGACACAGATACAGGTACTTCCTCCAAACTTGAAGAATCCGAACTGCAAGCAAATCAAATGATTGGCAATTATGGAACCGTTAATCACTGAAACCAAAAAAAAAGAAAAGAAAAACTTGAAAGTTGAGACAGTGAAAATCAGTCCTGCATACTCGAAAGCCCCCCTTCCCTCCATCGTCCTTCCCTCCCTCCCTCCCTCAGTACCTCCCAGCATCCATCTATCCATCTATCCATCTATCCATCTATCCATCTTTCCATCTTTCCATCCTCCATCTCTCCATCCTCCATCCTCCATCCTCCATCCTCCATCCTCCATCTTCCCTCCTCCCGCCCGCCCTCGGTCCATCCCCCCATCCATACATGCTCCATCCCATTCTCCATCCAGTTATCGCTCCACTCCCCAGAACCTCCCTCCCTCCATCCACCTCTGCTTCCATCGATCCATCCCTACCTGCCCACCTTCGTCCCTGTTTTACCTCACACCCGACCAAAATGTGAAGGGTTTGCTGCACAGGTCCAACTCTGGGGCACGCATCCCTCCCGTCCTTCCATACTATGCACAGCATTTTTTCCCTGGTTGCAAGCGTCCTCGCCTGTTTGTTTGCTTGCTTGGTGGGTTGAATAGAATACAGGTACTAGAATAGGCAATGAATCCACCAGCATTCCATGCTCATGTGCATGTTCAGGAATGTATGCGTGATTCAAACAAGCAGATCAGCAACCCCTTTTCCAATCCGAGACGTCGGTATCATATTGGCACAGTTCTAGAATGATTGTGATGTGTGTGTGTGTGTGTGTGTGTGTTTGCGATTGTGGAAGTGTGTACATTTGCAAGTGTGGAAGTGCGTGCATCTCATCAGCTAAATGTGAGTTTGCAAGAGAAACGTCATTCAAACATGAAGATGTGGAAGTGTGTGCATCTGATTGCTCGACTATGACTCACCTCATCACCCTTCTTCACAACATCCCCTTCTTTTCTGGTGAAAACGATTGACCCCACCATTGTTGCACCGATTGCCACAAATGCCACCTGCACAAAGAATGCCAAAAAAGCATGTGATGGAGCCAGAAGTTTTTGCCAGGAACTTCGTTTGAGTTCTTTTTAACAAAACATAGTGTCATGGGCCACACATACACACAGCACGCCGCACATACACACAAAATGCTGCCCCTGCCTCCTACCTCTAGTTCCCGCCCATCATCCATCACTCTTTGCTCATGTCCCACAAAACATCTGCACTGCTAGATGATAATGACTAGTGGGTACAGAAGCTGTCAGACAATGGAGAGAGACAGAGGGAGGGGACGGGGGGGGAGGGGGAGAGAGGAGAAGAGAGGGGAGGGTTTGGAGCTACCTTGTCGAAACGTACTGTTCCAATGAGTGCAACCATCCTCTTTTTCTGGGTGAAAACATTACAGTAGAGAGGCTGACACACACACAGGGTTTGTGTGTGTGTGTGTGTGTGTGTGTGTGTGTGTGTGTGTGTGTGTGTGTGTGTGTGTGTGTGTGTGTGTGTGTG